TCATGTGTTTTGTCGTTCTGCATTCTCTCTATCCCAGTCCTGGCCCATCATCCTGCGCATATACAATATGACATTTGTAGCAAGGCTTGTTCATCAAAGACTTGGGGTTGGGGAATGAAAGCTGAATCCAAAGGAGTGCCGCCCAAACCTTTCGGTCGTTCAAGTGAGCCATCCCAGAAGAGGCATGCGTCCTTCAATGGGTGTGAGTTTCCCAACTGTGAATGAAAAGGACGAAACCCAGCAAACCCCGCATGGAAGCATGCGTCCCTTCCCGAAACCCTGGCACGACAAGACTGAGAAGCAAATACCGGAACACCTGCGCGCATCGAAAGACCGGCGACATATACCAGCGAAATACACTCCGACGAACACATCACATGGTTACGTGGAGTTCACCTCCTAGTTGTAAAGGAAAGTAGTCTTCCTTTCGGGGTCATGGTTCCACGTAACGTGATGTGTTCGTCAGAGTGAAGACAAGGCCTCCGGGAACATCGAACAAAATGCCACCACGGTCGGGTGAAGAACAATTGCGCTGAGGCTCTTGTAGTCTCCATAGAGCCAGGCGCCCTTCTTGCCATGCAAGCCTGGACAGAGTCCGAGAGTCGGACGGAGCCCCGGCGGAGATTGGAGGCCCGAGCACATCAGGGCCGGCCGCCTTCATGGTTCAACCAGCTCTTAGTTCACCCAATTCCACTCAGTTCTTGACCTGTTCAGCACTGGCCAGGTTCTTCCAGGGCCAGCACACCAAGCGGGGCAAGAAGAACACCCCCAAACGGCAGCACCCGCGAACTGCGTGGGCTCGGGACTCTCAAAGAACCATCCACGAGTGGTCGGAGCCGACGAGTGGCCGGAGCCTTTTTGGGGCAGGGCTTTGTGGTTGAGACAACTGTGTTCGATCAGCTGATCGGAAGTGGATCAGCTCACCTGCGAAACTCGTAGCAGAACGACTTCGGGGGCGTCCTGGTTCTGAACCAGGGTTCGAAGTATACCTAATAATCCAGACTGAAAAACTAGTTACATTTGATTACCAAAAAACCCCACAAGAATGGACTTACGTACGTCTCCATACTGGGTTTTGTATGGTTTTGTACACCAACAGCCTACATGAATCTTTTTGCCATGGTTCTCAAAATCACTGAGCGTCATTCTTCTCAAACTGTGGCTGAGTGAAGGGATGCCACAAATTCATGGACAATCCGTTCTGGATGCCCATAGTGTGGTGTAGTCTAATGCAGACTGAATGAATCAAACACCCTCAAACACCCCTTGAAACTGAATGGTTTTACCATGTTTTACAGTTTACATCTCCAGTCCCAGGGGGATTTCATCAACCGTCCAGATCACCCGATCTCCAGATCTCCAGGCTCTCTGCCGACCTCCGATCTCCTATATAAGATCATGCCAAAGACCTCCTAAGACCTCCTAAGACCTCCAGATCTCTGCCAAAGACCTCCTAAGATCATGCTTGGGCCAAGCCTGAGATCAATTCACCATGTTGGGGAACTTTGGGCCGTTCGAGTCGGTTTCGGGGCATCTACCTTCGGCACGGTTTCGTCGGCGCCTGCCGCAGTGAGAGCCTTCAACTCGTTGTCGCCTGGGCTGTTTGAATCTTCGATCAGGCCCAGGTTTCGGCCCAGTATGGGCCCACCATGATTTGGAGGATTGTGAGGGGCATGGATGATGGATTTCTCTCTTTCGGAACGTTATTGGACAGCACGACGGACGGTGAACCGAACGAACTCCAACCCGTTCATATTGGGATGTCACCAATTCCCCAAAGAAGGTTTTTGTGGGCGATCCAATTTTCCTGGGTATTCATCAGCATCGGCCCTGAGCTTCGAGCCCCCAAAGTTCCGAAGCCGCAGTCATTGAAGTCTGAGTCACATCACGGGTGGTGATGCATGGTGATACTCAGTATGCTCCATAGTTCCTTCCTAACTACTATAGCTACAGTACAGTAGATGTTCAGTTTAGGGATATATATATAGGCAATCTGTGACCCAAGCTCAGCCGAGTTTCAAGAGCGATCAGTCCCGAGCAATGAGAGCGAACAGGAAACGGAAACAAACATGTCAAGAACCTGTATTTTCAGAACATCAATGACAAACCCGCCCCCACTGTAGTCTCTGTTGAAACCTTCCTATGCCTCCCAAATTTCCATGTCCTCCATAGCCCCCAAAACAAGCTGGGTGCCTTCTCCTGGCTGGTGGCCCTTGGGAAAATAAGTCCAGTCATCATACGCATATATAGAGACGGTAAGCACATCTTGCCAACCACGCGGGCTTGGAGTTTGGGAGAAAGATCTCGATAGCTCTATAGTATATCATATCCATGAACTACAAAAGCTCCATGAAAGGCGGTGTCTATTCTTCATGAAACCCCCATGAATGAGTCACCAAAGCCAACCCGAGGTGTTCAGCTTGGTTCCTTCTGCCAACGTTGACCCCTCAGTGCCTGTCACTGACACAGAAGCCTTCCCCCCAAGACCAAACAATGGATTTGTTAAAGGGAAAAACCAATAGAAATCCACGATGTTCACCCTCAAATCGATCCAAAACTATGGGTTTCCTGCACACAAAACCCTCAAACCAATTCTGAAAGACCACCCCGCGGCTCGGTTGTCCAACCCGAGTGGCGATGATATGCGATCAGCTCATCTCCTCGCCCGCGGGCGGCGACCGATGCAAACGGTTGGTGACACGATAGTAAACCGTACAGTGACAACGACCAATCGCTGAAGCTAGTCTATAACGACCAATGGCTCGATGTACATAACGATAGTATAACCACGCTAACCAAAAGAAATGAACGTTCTCAAAGGGGCGGAAAGCAGCTGAAACCGCAAGAAAAATATGACATGCAATTTCCTGATTGGAGCTTTTATATCAAGGCGTCAGCGCTCGCGTTCCTCTGATTACCTACAGTCGTTGTCAAAAACGACACACGAGTCGCGCCGTGTGGTCATATATGTTCTATATCCATAGGACCATTGGGTTTGGCTCAAAACGGGGACAGCCCGTGGGCCAATGGTTTTTTCTGGCCTCCTTGCTGCTTGTCCTTTTTGCCAGTGGTGGTGGGGATCTCATTGAGAAAACATCTGCTGCACTTGCTCTCAAACCCCGTCCTTCCAGCGGTGCTGACGCCGACATCGCCCGTGCCGGCGCTCGCGGGGGTGGTGGGGGCGGCACCGGCTCGGGTGCCGCCTCTGGGGTCGCCTCAAGCACCGGCTCTGCAGGAGCAGGCGGAGTGTCCTCCTGCGCGCGCACAGCCATGAAGGCCAAGATGGAGAGGAATGACCTCCTGGGCGGGTGGAGGAATGGCGAGTGGGCGGAGGTGGGAGTTGAGAAAGAGAACGCCGAAAGGTGGCAAAGATCTGATGTTGAGAAAGAATGGGGGAGTCCCACAATGTCATTGAAATAAAAACATTATCATTAGTTGATGGATCGAGTCACCAAAACAAACAAGATATTATTGTTATATAGTTGATGGATGGAGTCGGGCTTTTTTGTGACTACGGTGAAAACCGATGAACAGCTGCCGGGATCCAAGAACCCGAACCCATCAATGTGTGCCCAAGAAAACATGGTGGACGAAGGACATGACCCAATAGACTACAGAAAACACAATTGAATGTTTGCTTGGTGCATTTGGTGTTCAAAGTGTTCCTACCACAGTGGCTTCTAAGAACATCCGACTTTTAACACTGTTTGAGTTTACACTCCGACGAACACATCACATGGTTACGTGGAGTTCACCTCCTATTGGTAAAGGAAAGTAGTCCTCCAAAAAAAACATGCCATCCTCGAAACCATGCGATGTGTTTGTCACATGAGGGAACCCAGCGGAGCCGTAGAACCGCTGCCTGCGACCAAGGATCATGGTGCCTGGCTGTGTTACGTCCCAGCTCGCTGATCGCAAAGGTTTGAGCCAAGAATGCCTGGTCCAAGAAACGATTTTATCGCCCCCAGGCCTGTTGATGTGGCCCCTTCTGCTTGCTACGGGTCTATGGATCTTTGCATGTCTTTGCTCTGGGAGCTCTGACAGCTTCGTGTGGTCTCTGCTCGTTCCTGATCCTTCTCACAAATTTGCAGTGGTGAGGCGTCTAGGCTTTGAGCTTGAGGTTTTGTGGTCTTGCGAGGCCTACTCCACAAACATGCGCCACAATTCACAAATGATGGGTTGAATCGAAGTTGTGAACAACAATGGCAATGTATACTTTGAACAGCTTCTTTGAACTTCTGATGCCTTTGGTGACAGGTGACCTCAACTGACTGAAGCATTTTGGTGACCTCTGCCCGATCAAGGGGCCAGGGGACCCGGCCCGGTGGACCCGATCCGCTCAACCTCCAAGTGGCTCTTTTCGCGGCAGAACCGGGTCCACTGAGTCAGGATACGGCAGGTCTGGATGAAGCACTGAAGCACACCACGCATATTCATGGAGGGGAGGATTTTCTCACCAAAGGACGCACCCTTGAACAAGGGTGGTAGCGGAATTCTCGACGTGCTCTTCTACCAAGTGGCTTGTCAGCGCCAACCTTCAAAGGTACTGTAATTCATGGTTCGATGCCTTTTTGTTGGTGTTCCTTCCGCAACTGGTTTAAGTCAGTAGGCCCTTGCCTCCAGATGTGCCGCAAAATCAAAACTCCAAGCGTAGTTTTCAGCTTGGGACCTACTGAGAAAACCAGGTACATAATTACTGTACATTGATCATTCATGATCGTTCTGACATGTTCTGACACGCTTGGAACAGATGAGGGTTGCCAATCTCGGTGTGCCAAGGCTCACATACTAGATGCCGGTAGACAAATGTTATATATTCGAGTTTTTGGTTCCATTGAATTTCCATTGATTTAGAAAGCATGCTGCTGTCATGGTCACAGGAAAATCATATACTTCCAAATTCGGGGCCACAATGCAAGAACCTCATACTGATACTCATTCATACTCCACTGGCACCCCTCATCTGTTGTATCCCTTCGTTTCACCCGCTCCATTGGCGCTCACAGCGGCACCAACGGCAAGACCTTGCTCCACGGCCTTCGCCGTTGCCCGGACCTCGACGTCTTGCAGCAGCCACTCGTCGTAGCCCGTGCGAACGCTCCAGGCCGCCACTTGCGTCGGTAAGGTGCCAGGGCGTACCTGAGATCCATCAACCAGCGATGGTCGTGACAAGCGCCAGCCCGACGGTTGATGATCATTCAACCCCATCATATGAAGAGCTTCGACCATCCAAACGGGGGGTTTGATGAATCAAGATGCAGACATCAAAGCTTACAGCCAGGATCACCCAGGAAAATTAACATGGAACCTGAAAGCCACTGGGTTGTAGAATAAAAATCATCTTCCAATGGTTCATTTTCAGGTTCCATGTTGACAGGTGGATCCACCCATCCAATGCCACCACTTCTTCTCTTCCCTTCCCGACCCCACGGGTTGGGCGGGGCGGAAAAACCGGGTCCTTTGGGTCAGTGTTCGGGTAGTTACTTCATGGGGTGTATAAAGAATGATTTGCTTGTGAAACTCGGCTGTTTAGTCAATGAGTAATGAGTAAACTCAACTAGCTTCAGTAATGAGTCAATGAGTAGTGGGACAAACCCAAAATTTACCCCATGATTTTCATGATCCATGTCAGTACAGTGATTCCAGTCCCATGGATGGTCAGGGGAGGGGTTGACACGACTTGTCAGAAGATGATGCGTCACCTGAAATGGTTTCAGGTGTATGTTCATCCATCTATACCGTGAACCCTATCTATGTTAACTAAGCAGTGTCATTCATTAAGGCACCAATATTGTCAATGCCGACCATTCCTCACCGGAAACATCCGGTGACTTCTGGTTACTCGCTGGGTACCGATCATCCTACCTCTGATGGGTTTCGGGCTTCCGCCCTTGCTGACATCCGATATCCTGACGTGTAAGTCTGCACTACTTGGCGCCACTCATCAACCCATTCTTAGTACACTAACGAGGCTTTTGAAACACGCCCGCCACCTCCAAAAGAACCGGCGCACGGACTCCCGTGGGTCCCGTGAGGAGGGAGGGGTCATTCACTGGAACGGAGACCGTCGAGCACCGAAGAAGTCAAGTTTTCCCCTTTCAATCACCGAAGAACTCCCGAAGAGACCCACATAGACCCTGACGTCCTGGCCTCGCCTGGAAGATGGTTTTCCTCTACCAACCCAGTGGTTTTCATGTTAGTTTTCGGGAGTATAAGAACTGAAACAAGGAGTTGAAGCCAGAGACTTTGCCTAGACTGCCCTGTAGGGGCCACACAAGAATGACATCAATGCATGAAGGCCTACCCCATTAGAGGTGTGTCAACCCCAAAAAAAACATTCAAACAGCCTGATTGATCCACCATGACCCACCTTCTCAGCGCTGCGCATCGATCCGGCTGCGGCTTTCTCCTGGCTGTCTGCTGCTTTGCAAAACGCCATGACGAAGGGGTCAGCTATCCGCAATTCATTTGGTCACTGTTGCTAATCTCAACCTCATTAGCAGTGCCTGAATTCAATTCAATAGCCGATGAAGGTGGTGTATCGAACAATAGCCGATGAACCCACTGTTGGTGTGCGACAATCTTGGGACATGTCGGAGGATGGGAGACCACAATCAATCCAACTGCAGTTCTTTTGGGTCTGGTTCAATCCTCTCGTAGTTTGGGAGGCTCGAATCCAGGCTCTCCGAACTTCACGCGCAGGTATGTCCCCTAGATGAGTCTTTGTTCAAAAATCAGGGGAGATACACAGTCTTGAGCGTGAGTCAGAGGTTTGTGCCCCCCACTCGTCCTTGGAACAGGGTCATCCTAGTCCTCAGGGCCATGCCATCCACTTCCACCATGATTGAGGAGTGTGCAGTGGTTTCAGAAGTAGATGGCGCTAACACAAAAATATCTTTTGGTGGTCTTTCTAAACCACCTTTTGGGGATTGTGCTACCTACTCTGAAAGCACTTTCAGTGGAACGTGGCCCAGTGAAAGGGCCATCGGCCATTGACAATGCTCGGATGTCCTGATCCTTGTACTCGCAGCTGCCAACTCTCCAATAGTGCTCAGCATCAAAATAGAGAAAGCGCTCGAAGTGCCCTCCTTGCAGCACATACACAGGTGGAATCTCCTCGGTCCACGCTGGTTACGATCACGCTGGTTACGACGATGACGGACTCGCCGGTTAGATCCCTGGACCATGAGAACCAAACTCTCCCTCTCTTCATGTGTACTGGGGGCGTCACCAAATGCCCCCCAAATAAACAATGGTTATGATGAAGGCCGGAAGATACATGAAGATACCAGAAGCCTAACTCGCATTATGCGGCATGCACCAGAAGTCCCCCGCGTTGGGCGTTGGGGTGCTTCTTTGAGGGGCCCACGATGAGATGCACATCTAAGGACTCAATCTTCCTGTTCTCGTCTTCACATGCTTAAGCTGCACTGTACGGCCGAGGTGTTTTGTCCGTGCAGAATGAGTCGAAAAACATGAGAGCTTGAGCGTTTATAGGCACTTCATATCACGTCATTGTACGGCGAAACGTGGCAAAACTACGGACTCCATGGGAAACTCAGGAGTCCCAGCCAACTGTTCACATCGGGGATGGCTCGCCGACTCGTGTCTGCATCCAGCGACACCGGCCTGGGTTAAAGCAGCTTCAGGGATGACACTGTTAAGGTAAATAGAAATCGTTCAAGCTCTAAAATGCATTGGACCTATCGGAATTGGTCACTCCAAACTCGTGTGCAAAATGCGCACGTAGGAGAAGTGGCGACATTCAACGGCCGTCCAAGGGCCATCCTTCACAGTGCTCTTGGAACTTCTATCGTTTCTTTCCAATCTTTCCATATGCATGCTTTCCGTCTGGAAAATACCCTTCCAAGCAAAGAACATGATCCCCCGCGTCGAAGGCGAGCCCTTTCTGGTGGGGAATGAACCCCCAGCAAGGGGACGAAAGGGGCGCCCATCCTCCAGACGATCCCTCAGGTGGGGAACCCCTAGCACGACTGGTGAGACTAAGGGAATGAGCCCCCCATAGAGATTCCATTGGATCCAGCCACCGTCCTTCCCTACGACGTCGCCTTTCGTCGCACTCTACGAGCGTCGGGATGGGTCACGTCGACTTCGTACAGGCCGTTGGTCCAAGCGTCCCCGAACCTGACATCGGATCGAAGCTGGTGGAATCTATGTCGTCGCGCGACCGCCGCGTTGGCGGTTGAGAAGTGTTGCCCCCCTAAGGAGGTGGGCACAGACCCGCCAGGGCATCCACCATAAACATCGAACCTCAGAAGGTAGGCCAGGAGCCCGTCTCACCACCCCCACCAGCCAATTCGCCAAGTGGCTGCCCTGTGGCGCCTCGAATCTCCACGGGGCACGCGTCCGCCGTGGCCCAGGCCGCGTCCTTGAAAAGCGAAAGAGTGTCCGAAAAGAGGTGTCCGGCCCCGGCAGTGGAGCGAGGGATGAGTTCCAAACAGCACGTCTTTCTGATTTTTTGGTTGTTGAGTTGCAACTCAAGACTAAGCAGGTGGTTTAAGGTCTCTCAAGTCTTTCCACACAGCGACTTACCTTCCCTAAATTAGTTGCGCCGGTTGGGCAGGAGCATTGACGGAGGTCCCTGTGGAACCACAGAACACATCCAACATGCAATCTGCAAAAGCAAAAGCAGTACACTCTGGAAGACTAACATGGAACCTGAAAACCCCTGGTTGGTAGAGGAAAATAGTCTTCCATGGGACCATTGCCAGGGTCTATGTGGGTCTCTTCGGGAGTGTAACTCTCCAATGCCCCCACGTCCGGGCCGACATCCACGCACGAACACTCACCCTCCGCGGTTCTTCGAAGACGTCGTGCGCGTGCCACGAACTCGTGTCCTTCTGTCGAGAGGTGGCAGCTGCATCCGGGCCAAAGCCCCACATCCCAGCTGCCATTGTTTGGGTGGCACTGCCGCGATGTTCTTGTATTCTGCTTTTGGGTGGCACTGTGTAACCCTTGGAATCATCGCGAGGCTCTTGGCTTTGAAATCATGGTGGGACTTCGTTGCACTCCTTTTGCCCAGGAACTTTACCTAGGCGTACCCGTGTGGCAGCATTCAGACCGTGTATACTTGAAACCCCGAGTGTGTGCGTGCTCAGCTGGACTGTGCTGCCTCACTTCTTCGGGGATGCCGAAAGTGCAGGTCCGAAGGTCTGGAGTCTCACGACGTTCGACTTGGTTGAACACCCAAGGTCTGGGGTCACCTCTCACCTCCGCGGTGACTTTCAAAGCTTGGTCTTCTTATATTTTGTCTGAAGCTTGTCCAAAGTATGTCCTGCTTCTATTACACTACACTGAATCTGGACCCAGTGTGCCGAGCACGCGTACGTGTGACTTGGGTGCAAAGTATACACTCCTTGAATGACAAAGGTCATGTTCTGAGCTCCGGGTGGAAGCTGGTTCAAGCTTTTTGCATGCAGCAGAATTACAGTAATGAGCGGTTCCGCGGCGCTTTTGATGGACAATGACCTTCCAATTGAAAACAACAGCCCTCATCGAACACGCGCTTAACACCAAAAGCAAGTGCTGGAGCTGCTGGAAACGGCTCCTATGAACAAGGACTTCGCTCCTACTTGAGCATCAAAGCTGCAAAGCATTCAGGATTTGGAAGCTGACACAGTCTCCTAGCGAGTCATGTAGAGCTCGGATATCTTACTTCATGGGTCGCACCCAGTCCAAACATGCGCAAGAGTCTAAACAAGCTTGGCAAATCATGGGTCGCACGCCTGCTCAGTGATGAGATTCTGCTCGGGAAGCTGGAGTCATGCCGACCACCAGGACCAGCATACAGATTCACACCACTTTAACGTCAAAACACACAGCTACATGCATATATATATATTTTAATATATATATATATAGAGAGAGAGAGAGATATATAAAGAGTATAGCAATATACCGTATGTCGTATGCCATATTCTTAAACACATCCAAATAGGAAACTGGTCGCACTTCAATTTCTGGACTGTCTTCAAGTCTTCTACTCGAGAAAGACGGGTAGTCATTTTCTGTGCCGCAGTTATATACTATACTTGCATACAGATTTATTTGCATGTAGATGGACACGGCCGTTTGCCCTGTAACAGTGGATCAGGTGGTCCCTTCCTCGTGCATGTATGTGTTATGATGGATGGGTATGGGTGGCACATGTCCAGTTCCCCCGTTCCACTTGTTTGTTTCGTTGGTCAGGCCCGACCTCCAGACGATCCGAGTGAGTGTAGGTCGGGTCATTGGCCAAGTGATGCCAAGTGACTGCCCTGCGGAGGACCACATGGAACATGGCCGAAACCACGTGACTTCCCATGGGTCCATGGGTCCGCGTCTTGGAGGGTATGGACTTGCGCTCCAACGTGAGTCAGGAGTCCTTTCAATCCGACCACGCTAAGTCTGCAACTCAAGCCCACGCACACGTCAGGTTCAGAACGCCAGACACTGCCAATGATCAAATCATGTAGACTCTTGAATCAGAAAGCCCCCCATATAAGGTTGTACTCTCCATGTCTGGGAGGGTTGTACTAATCAAGAGTCTACATCAGCGGTAGACTCTCGCCACCCAATATCGAAATGGGCTTCTTCAAGTCCTGTGGTTTCAGACTAGGTGGCACGATCCCCCAATGTCTTTTTAATATAAGGACCCCCATGTAAGTGGCATCCAACCTCTGAAACCATTGGCTTCTTTCTTCTTCGGCGGCCAGCCGCGTGTGGACGCCGTTTTTCTCGCTGACAAGTATGATCTAGCAGCCAGGGGTCATAGTCATCAACGTCGCTGCATCCCAACGGGGTGGAGGTTATAATGACTCTTGTACGGTGGTCCCCAAATAGATAGTGGATGATAGTGGCATGCGGAGGACTCTCTGAACATATCGCAAAGAAGACACAGTGTTAATCAGTGTTATACAGTATATGGTGTGATCGCTCATTCCCACATGCCACTTCCAAACGCCACCCTCCCAATGACCTTCCCACCTTCATCTGCTCCGGCCATGCTCGAACGATGCTTTCACAGGCCTCAAAGGCAGGCGTCCACAGTGCAGCGGGTCGTCCACAGTGTGCTTCGGCCACTTAGACTCCACCATTCGAGACGAATCATGGATGTGGATGGCATGGCCCGATCGCAAACCGATTCGCCACCTCCAATGACTCTTGACTCGCCACCTCCTGCGAAGGCATGACCCTGGACCCTCCCACCCACCCCGGTCCTACCGGTACGACTGGAGCCCGTAGCCTGAGTCGGTGAGCGACACCTTCGTCCAGTCCCCGGGAATCAGGTGCCGAAGCTTTTTCCTCCGGAAATCGAGCTCGATCAGTCGGACCACGCGAGCGCGCGACGGGTTTTGCGCCTTGCAGCACCTCGCAGCGCTCGTGGAGCACCCATGGACATGCGTTGGACTCAGAATAGGACCCTCCAGATCCCTCCAGCCACAAGAAATTCTGTCGCAGATCCCTCGTGGCCGGGGGTCGAAAAACTGGATGGGGTCTCCTTATTCTCATGCACATTCTTTATGTTGTATGAACCGTTTCATCAACGTCACCATCACAAACTGAACTATATCCATGGTAGGATTAAACGATTCATGGTATCCCGCTCCAAAGGTACTTTGCTTCGATTCTACTGCGACATCAGCACCATCCACGGTCGCCCGTCGCTTGCCTGGGGCCAAAACGAGCCACCCTGCTGGCGCCACAGTGCTGTGATACCACTTCATGATTGATGGATGATGAATGTCGGTTTTTGTCCAGGATGATGAACCATGGAACAAGCATGACCAAGCCTTGCTGGTATCACATGTCCATGTTGATGTCGACACCCACCCTCGACACCTACCCTCCCGAAGTACCGACTCACTTCCAGCCAGTGCTTAAGCTTGGAGTTCCAGGTGTCACTCTCAGCCTAGGCCAGCACTCCCCACACTCGTCGTGTTGACGCAGTGGGCAGGGCAGTGGCCGGCTTCGTCGGGGAAAGCGGAAGCGCAGCCGCAGGCATTGGGGCAAAGCCAGGCGAGTGGCCGGAAAAGTGGAGGAAAGCCTTGGAGTTGCTGTCTTCCGAGCCAGGAAAACGAGCAACATGCAAAACATATCA